CCCTGCATGCCTGCTACACTCCCTGCATGCCTGCTACACTCCCTGCATTCCTGCTACACTGCCTACATGCCTGCTACACTCCCTGCATGCTACACTCCCTGTTTCCCTGCTACACTCCCTGCCTCCCTTTCACACTCCCTGTTTCCCTGCTTCACTCCCTGCCACCATGCTACACTCCCTTCCTCCATGCTACTCTCCCTGCATGCCTGCTACACTCTCTGCCTGCCTGCTACACTCCCTGCCTTTCTCCACATCTTCCATTGGGCCCATGGTGGCTTATTTCAAAGTCGCATTTAATAAACAAGCACAAAAACCAATGGATTCTAAGGAAATGTTTGGATGAATGCACGGAGTATATGCTCATTCACTGAGAGATGCAGGGAGACTGACTCACCTACACGTGGTATCCCGGCGGGAGGTGGCCTGAGGTGTGTAATACGGCTAATTTGCGAGGCAACAGCCAAAAAATGGAGCAAAATTTCCTCCCAAAAACAGGCCTAAATACGATTCGGTCAATAAACGCAGTGGCCGATATTCGGGGTTCCACTGTATGTTGTTTTACCACTCAGTGAAGAACATTCTAATATAGTATGTATTCCTTTGGTACTGCTTTTTTTTTTTTTTTTTTTTTTTTTTTTTTTTTTTTAGCTTTAACTGTGGCATCTTATTCCTATTTATGGTGCAATACATGGAATTCTTTCTTATCAGTTATTTTGTATCCTTTTATAGTCTAATACATTTTTTTTTTTTTTTATCAACAAGTCGGCCGTCTCCCACCGAGGCAGGGTGACCCAAAAAAGAAAGAAAATCCCCAAAAAGAAAATACTTTGATCATCATTCAACACTTTCACCACGCTCACACATTATCACTGTTTTTGCAGAGGTGCTCAGAATACAACAGTTTAGAAGCATACACATATAAAGATACACAACATATCCCTCCAAACTGCCAATATCCCAAACCCCTCCTTTAAAGTGCAGGCATTGAGGCATTGTACTTCCCATTTCCAGGACTCAAGTTCGACTATATGAAAATAACCGGTTTCCCTGAAGCCCTTCACTAAATATTACCCTGCTCACACTCCAACAGATCATCAGGTCCCAAGTACCATTCGTCTCCATTCACTCCTATCTAACACGCTCACGCACGCTTGCTGGAAGTCCAAGCCCCTTGCCCACAAAACCTCCTTTACCCCCTCTCTCCAACCCTTTCGAGGACGACCCCTACCCCTCCTTCCTTCCCCTATAGATTTATATGCTTTCCATGTCATTCTACTTTGATCCATTCTCTCTAAATGACCAAACCACCTCAACAACCCCTCTTCTGCCCTCTGACTAATACTTCTATTAACTCCACACCTTTTCCTAATTTCCACACTCCGAATTTTCTGCATAATATTTACACCACGCATTGCCCTTAAACAGGACATCTCCACTGCCTCCAACCGTCTCCTCGCTGCTGCATTTACCACCCAAGCTTCACACCCATATAAAAGTGTTGGTACTACTATACTTTCATACATTCCCTTCTTTGCCTCCATAGATAACGTTTTTTGACTCCACATATACCTCAACGCACCACTCACCTTTTTTCCCTCATCAGTTCTATGATTAACCTCATCCTTCATAAATCCATCCGCCGACACGTCAACTCCCAAGTATTTGAAAACATTTACTTCTTCCATACTCCTCCTCCCCAATTTGATATCCAATTTTTCTTTATCTAAATCATTTGATACCCTCATTACCTTACTCTTTTCTATGTTCACTTTCAACTTTCTACCTTTACACACTTCCCAAACATCATCCACTAACCTTTGCAATTTTTTTTTAGAATCTCCCATAAGCACAGTATCATCAGCAAAAACTAACTGTGTCGATTCCCATTTTGAATTTGATTCCCCAAAATTTAATCCCACCCCTCTCCCGAACACCCTAGCATTTACTTCCTTTAAAAACCCCATCTATAAATTTATATTAAACAACCATGGCGACATTACACATCCCTGTCTAAGACCTACTTTTACCAGGAAGTAGTCTCCCTCTCTTCTACACACCCTAACCTGAGCCTCACTATCCTCATAAAAACTCTTTACAGCATTTAATAACTTACCACCTATTCCACAACACTGGACCTCCGATTAACAATATTTTTTCATTCCAGAAGTATGTTCAGGTGCCAGTACTGACCGAATTTGTTCCCATAAGGAATATTGTGAAGTAGATTAGTCCATTTCAGACCCCCACACATACACATACAAACGCACTTATATAAATACACTTTACATAATTGGTCGCATTGGGAGGTGATCGTTAAGCGGGGGTCCATGTACTTGCAACATCTGCCACATTGCTCCTCTATCCACTCTATCATATGCCTTTTCTAAATCCATAAATGCAATAAAAACTTCCCTACCTTTATCTAAATACTGCTTACATATATGCTTCAATGTAAACACTTGATCTACACACCCCCTACCCACTCTAAAACCCCCTTGCTCATCTGCAATCCTACATTCTGTCTTACCTCAATTTCTTCAATTATAACCTACCGTACACTTTTCCGGGTTATACTCAGTAAACTTATTCCTCTATAATTTTTACAGTCTCTTTTGTCTCCTTTCCCTTTATATAAAGGGACTATACATGCTCTCTGCCAATCCCAGGTACCTTCCCCTCTTTCATACATTTATTAAACAAAAGTACCAACCACTCCAACACTATATCCCCCCTGCTTTTAACATTTCTGTCATGATCCCATCAGTTCCCCAGCTGCTTTACCCCCTTTCATTCTACGTAATGCCTCACGTACCCCCCCACACTTACATTCTGCCGTTCTTCACTCCTAAAAGATGGTATACCTCCCTGACCATGCATAAATTACTGCTTCTCTTTCTTCCTTAACATTTTAAAAGTTCCTCAAAATATTCTCGCCATCTACCTAATACCTCCATCTCCCCATCTACTAACTCCCTTACTCTGTTTTTAAACTGACAAATCCATACTTTCCCAGGCTTTCTTAACTTGTTTAACTCACTCCAAAATTTTTTTCTTATTTTCATTAAAATTTTTTTGAAAAGTGCCTCTCCCACTCTATCATCTGCTCTCCTTTTGCACTCTCTCACCACTCTCTTTTTCCTTTCTTTTACTCTCCATATACTCTGCTCTTCTTATAACACTTCTGCTTTGTAAAAACCTCTCAATTAAGCTACCTTTTTCTCTTTTATCACACCCTTTACTTCATCATTCCACCAATCACTCCTCTTTCCTCCTGCCCCCACCCCCTATAACCACAAACTTCTGCCCCACATTCTAATACTGCATTTTTAAAACTATTCCAACCCTCTTCAACCCCCCCACTACTCATCTTTGCACTAGCCCCACCCCTTTTTGCCAATAGTCGCTTTTATCTCACCCGAACTTCCTCCCCCTTAGTTTTAACACTTTCACCTCCCTCTTACTTGTTGTTGCCACTTCCTCTTTTCCCATCTACTTCTTACTCTAACTGTAGCTACAACTAAATAATGATCCGATATATCAGTTTGCTCCTCTATAAACATGTAAAATCCTGGAGCCTACCCATCAACCTTTTATCCACCAATACATAATCTAATAAACTATTTTCATTACGTGCTTCATCATACCTTGTATATTTATTTATCCTCTTTTTCATAAAATATGTATTACTTATTACTGAATCTCTTTCTACACATAGCTCAATTAAAGGCTTCCCATTTACATTTACCCCTGGCACCCCAAATTTACCTACTACTCCCTCCATAACACATTTACCCACTTTAGCATTGAAATCCCCAACCATCATTACTCTCACACTTGATTCAAAACTCCCCATGCATTCACTCAACATTTCCCAAAATTTCTCTCTCTCCTCTACACTTTGGTACTATAATTATGTCAGCTCCTTAAATCCTACATTAATTACATAACATGGCACTGTGCTTTTGGGAAACTCTGAAGAGAAATTACAGAGGTTGGTGGATGAGTTTGGTAAGGTATGTAAAAGAAGGAAATTAAAAGTGTATAGGAAAGAGTTAGATGATGAGGATAAAAAAAATAGGTAATGAAAGATTGGATATCAGATTGGAAGGAAAGTGTATGGAGGAGGTGAATGTTTTCAGATATTTGGGAGTGGACGTGTCAGCAGATAGGTCTGTGAAAGATGAGGTGGATCATAGAATTGTCAAGGGGGAAAAAGGTGAGTGGTGGATTGAGGGGTCTGTGGAGACAAGAACTTTATGCATGGAAGCAAAGAGGGGAATATATGAGAGTATAGTTATACCAGTGCTCTTATATGGTTGTGAAGCATGGGTGGTGAATGTTGCAGCAAGGAGAAGGGTGCTGGCAGTGGAGATGTCATATCAGAGGACAATGTGTGATGTGAATATAGTGCATAAAATCCGTAGTTTGGAGATTGGGAGGCGGTACGGGATTACCAAAACTATTATTCAGAGGGCTGAGGAGGGGTTATTGAGGTGGTTCGGACATGTAAAGAGGACAGAACGAAATAGAATGACTTTGAGAGAGTATAAATCTGTAGTGGAGGGAAGGCTGGGTAGGGGTCGGCCATGGAAAGGTTGGAGGGAGGGGATTAAAGGAAGTTTTGTGTTCAAGGTGCTTGGACTTCCAGCAAGCATGTGTAAGTGTGTTAGATGGAAATGAATAGAGATGATTAGTTTTTAGGACTTGACAAGCTGTTGGAGTGTGAGCAAGGTAACATTTATGAAGGGATTCAGGGAAACTGGCAGGCCAGACTTGAGTCCTGGAGATGGGAAGTACAGTGCCTGCACTCTAAAGGAGGGGTGTTAATGTTGCAGTTTTATAACTATAGTGTAAGCACTCCTCTGGCAAGACAGTGATGGAGTGAATGATGAAAGTTTTTCTTTTTCAGGCCACTTAGCCTTGGTGGGAAACAGTTGATGTGTTAATAAAAAAAATAACAGATTTTTCATGTTCTCTTATATAGTACTGAACATTTTCAGGATTATCAGAAAAAATGGGAAGTGAAAGTTTTATGAACTTTTGGTCATCTATTGTTAATGATGACTGTATCCAGGACCAGCTGAAGTCTGTCATGACCATAGAGGATAGAGAAGAGCGAGCACTGCAGCTCCTCTCTCGCACTCTGTTTCTTTTAGTGATGGGTTGGTAGCAATTTGTTTACAGTATTGTTTTTATTTGATTTATATTTCAATTTATGAAAAATCTGTCTTCGTGTAAGGTCAACTGAGCCCGTCTTTACATAGGTAGACTTAATTAATATGTACTCACTGATATTTTTTGTCTCTAGAAATCAAGCATGAGCGTGATGCAGTTACCAAGACACTGAACCAGATGAAGGAAAGGTCTAGCAGGTGCACTTCACAAGGAGAGAATGCTGTAGGTGATGCTTCAGGTAGTGTAAAACCTTATGAGCTGCAACATCAGAAAGAAATGAATCAGTTGGATTCACAGGAGAGTCCTGTAAAGATAAACATTCCAATTATGCAATCAGAAGGAGATGGTTATGGCATTCAGAAGATTGTTGATGCTTCAGGAAAGAAAGAAAGTAAATTAATGAATAATCAGAGAAGAAACAATGACTATCGATGTCTGTCCAGATCCCCCAGAAGAGTAAGTCCAAAAAATAGTAGAGAGATTGAAGAGAAAGAAAATGGTATGACAAATGGGAAGGCTTCAGAAGAAATTGCTTCAAAAATTCTTGCTCCAGAAACATTGTCTCTAGATGAGAATGAACTGTATATTAATGTGTCAAAAAGAAGGGCTCTAGCAACACAGACTGTGAGTGTCCCAGAGACCCTTGCTGTAGAGAATACAAGTGCCCTCAATACAAATGTGAATGAAAATACAGACTTTTATGGAAACAATGTTAGCAGTGGGAGTGAAATATTAGAGGAAACAGTCACTCCACCTTGGAATTCTCCTATTGATGGAGGAAAAGAAATGAGAAGTCCTCATAAAGATCAAATAAGTACTGAGTCCCTGAATCAGAGAAGTCCAGTGCTAGGAAAGCAAAATCGACTCTCAACCTCAGCAACCATGAAGGAAACAATTGATGTACCTGTAATCTCCCCTCTGGCATTAAACTTGGATGCAAATAAACAGTCACCAAAGCCACTGGATTCAAAAGGCATAAAAAGAACTAAGATTATTACTTCAACCCCAAAGTATTCTTCCCTTAGCACTCAGAATTTTTCAAGCTCGCTGAATGATTCTACATCTCCCTCACTTTTGCCAGCTGTTAAAAACAAAGCTGTTAGAAATAATAATGAGGAAACACATCCTTCTAATCCAACTTCTCTTGAAAACCTGCAAGAACAAAAGCAATCTTCAAAATCAAGGAAAGCTTTTCAGAGGTGTTTATCAAGTTCCAGAATATCTCCACCAATAGGAAATTCCCGTAGCCTGAGGAGATATAAAACTACAGATGAGCAAAGCAAGATATCTTTGAGTAAGATTATTATTGAACCACCTACATCTAATAAGAAAAAATATAAACAGACAAAGATCTCTTCAAATATATTTCAAAAGAAGACAGATGTTGCAAAAGCTACTGGTGAGTGTATCTTGTAATTTATATATGTATAGAGGTTTCTCCTCCCCCCAGCTTATGAATGAGTTGTGTTGGTAGTGTTTCATCATAAAAATGAGTTGTTTGTAACAGCCTATTTTTATGTACAAAACACTAGTACAAAGGATGGTTGTGGTTTACTTATTCATAACTGTGGATCAGTATTCATAAAAATTAAATTCATAAAAATTTAGTTCATAAATGGGGATGTGTGTAACTCTTGGCATTCATAAGTTGGGTATACCCAATATAGCAGATCATGAGTTATCTGGAATGAATGAGACCAATATTTCTTCTAATTTTAACCATCAGTATATAGAATAAATTTTTTATGTACACAAGTATTGACATAATGTCCAGATGTGTACTACCAGTTCGATGGTTTATTAGGTTAATGCCCATTACCTGTACATTGGTCATTAACCCTTTGACTGTTTCGGTCGTATATATACGTCTTACGAGCCACCATGTTTGACATATACATGCTCATAAATTCTAGATGCTTTAAATCAAGCAGGAGAAAGTTGGTAGACCCATATGTGAGAGAATGGGTCTGTGTGGTCAGTGTGCACCATATAAAAAAAATCCTGCAGCACACAGTGCATAATGAGAAAAAAAACTCCGACCGTTTTTTTTTTTTTAATTAAAATGCCGACCTTGTGGTTATTTTCATATAGTATTTATGGTTGTATTCTCATTTTCTTGGTCTCATTTGATAGAATGGAAAACATTATAGATATTGAGGTGATTTTGGTTGGTTATACTATGAAAAGGACCTTGAAATGGAGCTCTAAGTAGGGGAAATGTTTGATTTTTGCTGATGTTCAAAAGTAAACAAATGATGTCATTTTCCAATGAATGTCCAAGTAGCCATTCTGATATGCAGTCATGAATGGGTTGACATTATTTATACAATTATTACAATACTCCAGTAGTCTGCATAACAGGAAATCTTTTACTCTTTGTTTGAATAAAAATTCAGAATAGAAAGCAAGAGTAATATCAGAGGGGCCTGGAGATGTGACTGATGAACATAGAAAATGTTATTTTAGAGCCAGGAATGTCTGCATTGTTCATTCTGGACACTATTTTAAAATTGTTCATATTTTTTAATTTTCGTGAAATTGGCCAAATTGCAAATTTCTGACCACATTATTGGGTAGTTGATATTGGTAAATGGGCAGTTTCTTGTACTCAGTCGATAGAAAAAATTGAGTTTTAAAGAAATAGCTATGAGTTTGGTCGACTGGTACAATGGAATTAGCCGAAAATAGGGCTCAAAGTAGGCAAAATTGCTGATTTGTAAATATTGCTGAGGTCGTCAACTTCACAAGAGCATAATTCCGTTAGTGTTCCATCAAATTTCGTACTTTTGGTGTCATTACAATCGGGTAAAGATTTTTTTTTAATTTTGCGACACCAGGAAACACCTTAGGATTTGGGGTTGCGACAGTCAAGGGGTTAAATCTGTATTTCACCTTTATGCTACAAGCCAGGAATATTGTTCTGTACTTAATCCCTTAACCTTTCCACTGTCTCTTATATAGGTCTATGTTATTGGCGCCCGAGTCGCTCGTGTAATCTACATTTAAGTTCAGCTCTCTCACATAAGCTGTGCATGGTAAATTCTGGCCTTGACATGAAAGAATGGGCCTGTGCAGTGAGTATGCATGGTATAAAAAACAATCCTGCCCCAGTGTTGCATCATGAAAAAGCAAACCTCTAATCTTGTGTTTGGTTTAAAATAGTAATGCTGAGGTGTTTGTTTCTAAGATGGTTTTTCTGATAATTGAATGAGCGGTTTCTTTTGTAGACTAGTGAAATAACTAAGAATTTATTAAAACCGAGAAATGGAATTGGCTCAATATACAGATCAATTAATCTAAAATTCTGTCTCCATGTTGGTTATTATTGAGCATAACTTCCTGTGTTGAGGGTGCAAAGGTTATACCTAGAGGAAACGTTCTTGAAATGATCGTGTCGGATATTAAGAAGAGAAATGAGGCACTCAGAGTGAAAGAGGTCTTTGCTGATACACCAACCATGAGAGGAACTGCTGGATTCCACCACTTCACCATTGAAGGCCGTGTTGCCACTTATTGTACACTGATAATGATGTGAAAACTTCCTCAGAGGTTGATCTGCTAGATGTGCCCCAAACTGAAGAAGAGCCATTTCAAGTTTGTGATTAATGTATGGTGCATTATGATGATGATGATCTTTTAGAGAAGTAAAGCAGATTCAGTTTGGGAATTATGAAGTGAGCATCATTCACAGTGTGTTCCACCTGGAAATAGCCACTGGCCATTTGAGGAAGTTATGTTCTTTTATGATAGATAAAAGATGAAAAAACTGTAGTCACCCATCATTAGGGGGCCAGTACCCCAGGTTTTGATTGAATGGGCACCATAAATCTAAAGCGTGAAAAATGGTGACAATAGTTCTGTTTATTATGACCACAGAATTAAAATCAGTGAAATCTCTCCCACTTTTAAAATTAGAGCAGCTGCATGTACCATGAGACCAGTACCTCTGTGATTTAACAATTAAGTCACATGGCATCAGTAGACAATAATATATCATAGCAATACCTATGATGTAAACCAAATTGTAAATCACTGCAATGAACTACCTTTGTTTAAAACCTTTGCTTTGACTTTGCAGCTGTAATTGAATTTTAGTTGTTATAGGCTGTTATGGAATAGAAACTTAGATTATTGATCTTGGAAACAATTTCTGTTCTCAGCATAATTCTGATAGATTTTTCAGTATTCTGGATTTGGCAGATATGGAGCATGAAAAGATTATCAAAACTTGTCTCATAATTTGTATTATGAGTGAAAATTCTTTTATCATCAAAGTAATGGACATTTCATCTCATTACATGAGCACAAAACTTGTTAAAATCATGAGTGATGCTACCAGACAAATTGTAATATCCATCACGTAGCTCCTTTCACACACACAGTATTTATTTTCTATAGTTTTCTGTAACTATACCTTAATTCCCAGGTAAGAAATACATTTGTGAAATTCAAGGGTTTCAGGTGATTTTGAAATAGATTGTTTTTACCTATGTTCATTTTGATGCAGTGTCTCATACACTTGTTTCTAATTGCCTCCAAGCTATACATATCTGTAAGAATTTTGCTTCTTGGCACTAGGTAGACTAGGGCATGAACAAGGCTTGTGTACAGTGTCAAGTGCCAGGTGGTACCTAAGATATTACAAGAACCCCAGTGAAAATAAGTCACTTTGACTTTATTGAGCTATCCTAGGTAATATACACTCATGTTACTGTATAAGATAATTGTACTAAGGTATACCTGTACCTAAATAACTTTATTTTACTTACTGTATAATCAGGGAGTTGAAATGACCTCCAACTCCTCTGAATGTAACATCCATCACTGTGAAATTGTCCTACTTCTTTAAATTTGCTGTTGTACAAGATTATCCAATAAATGTGTGTATTTTTATCATTTTTGGAAACACTAAGCATTATAACAGACTATAATTTATCAGTTTTTTTTTTTTTTTCAGACTACATAATACTAAAGAAATTGAACATTGTTTAAGTTGTTCATCTTGTTTATTTATAGTACACAGTAATTTTACTCAAATTACAATAGTTTCAATAGTAAATGTTGAAATTATATTATATTGTGAGTTGTTGAAAGTAGTTTACAGTATGAGAATGCTACAGTTGGGTAGTAATGTTTTGGGTAGGTATGAATTTTGGGTGCCACGTTTTGAAGTTTTAAGATTTAGGTAATTGGAAGAGTTTTTGGTAAAGTTAAATATTGAGTATGTATTTAATTTAGGGTGAGTAAGTGGTTTTGAGAAGTCTTAAATTGATGTTCAGACCGGGTTACTTTAGTATTTACTGGTAATGAATTTCAAATTTTGGGGCCCTTTATGTGCATAGAGTTTTTACACTGTGTGATATGGACATGGGGTACATCAAAAAGAGATCTGTGTCTTGTGCTATGGTCGTGTGACCTGTTAAGGCTGGTGAGGAGAAGTTTGAGTGGAGGGTTCATGTTTGAGTGTAGTGTTCTATGTATGTAGTAGGCACATGAGTAAGTATGGATGTTCTTTACGGTGAGCAGTTTTAGACTTTTGAATATTGGTGGAGTATGCTGTTGGGAGTGGGAAATTGTTTTCATTCTGACTGCAGGCTTTTGCTGGGATATTAGTGGCCTTAGGTGATTTAGTGTTGTTGATTCCCATGCACAAATCCCATGTGTGAGATAAGGGTAGATGAGTGAATGATACAGTTTAAGGAGAGCTGATTGCGGAACATAGTACCGTATCTTTGATAGAGATTTCCTTAGAAATTTGTTGTATGTGTGTCTGGAATTTGAGGCTACTGTCAAGGTGGATTCCTAGGAATTTTCCCTCTGTGAGTCTTGTGATGGGTAATTTGTTTAGCATTATTTTAAGTGGAACATTTGCAGCTGTTTCCAAACTGAATGAAATAGGTTTTGTCAGTATTGAGGGTAAGCTTATTAGTCATCATCCAGGTAAATATTTTCTGCAATTCAGCATTAATAGTGTTGGCCAGTATGACTGGGTTTGGGTGAGAGAAGACATATGTAGTGTCATCTGCAAATAATATAGGTTTGAGTAGTTGTGATGCATTCGGTATGTCATTGATGTAAATGAGAAAGAGGAGTGGGCCAGGGACACTTCCTTATGGAACACCGACTGTGATTGGTTGAGTGGAAGAGTTTGCTCCATTTGTGTACACATATTGGCTTCTGTTACTAACGTATGACTTTGGGTAGCTGAGGGAGTGCCCTCAAATTGTGGTCGACAGTTTCAAAAGCTTTACATAAATCAGGGAAGAATCCTAGTGGGACTTCTTTCTTCTCAAGAGCAGTGTATATTAGTTCTAGCATGTGTATAATAGCATCATTTGTGCTCTTATTATTCCTGAATCCAAACTGGCAGGGGTTTAGTATGTTGTGTGAGACAAGGTAGGAATAGATCTGTCTATGAATTAATTTTTCAAAAATTTTAGAGATCAGAGGTAAATTAGAAATAGTCTATAGCTATTCAGGTCTGCTTGATCACCTCCTTTGTGGATCGGGTTGACCCTCGCTATTTTGAGAATTGCTGGGAAGGTGGAGGATTTGACGGATTTGTTAAAGAGTGTTGCAGTTATTGGTGACAGTACTAGTGAAACTTTTTTGTATATAAAAGGTGGTAATTTATATATGTCTCCTGCCTTGTTTTTAAGGGTGTTGATGATGAGCGAGACTTCTGTTGGGTTGGTTGGGGCTAGGAATAGTGTATTTGGGTAGGTGCCCGTGAGGTAGTCTGATGGATGGGTGTTTGACATTGGGATTTTGCTCGCTAGATTCTTTCCTATGGTGGAGAAGAAAACATTGAGTCTGTTTGCTGTTTCAGTTAGCAAGAGTAGGGGTTTTGTCTGATTTTGTTATTTGATTGCTTTGTTTTTGGATATCTTTTTAGTTCCTAAAATTTAGGATAGGGTTTTCCAGGTCTTTTTCTTATCACCTTTTATGTTATGTAATCGTTTTCATAATACAATTTTTTGACCCTTATCAGACTGGTAAGGATTGCGAGTAACATTTTTGAATGGTTTTTGTTATTTGACCCATTCGTACTGTTTTTCATATAGGTGCTTGTGTTACTGGATTTAAGGATGCTGGGTGTTAGCCAGGACTGTTCAGTCTCTTAGCTGTGTGTTTGAGTGTACATGCCCAAACCCCCGTACATGCAGAGCATTTTGACCAAACTTAAGGACTAACTTGAGATTAATAAGGCAATAACAATAATGTGTAAATTTAAGAGTTTACAATGAATACAAGAGAATTGAATATTCGTTGTATTATTGATTATTCAATAACATTATTGTTATTGCCTTATTAATGTTAAGTTAGTCTTAAGTTTGCCTAAAATACTTGGGTGTACTGTACTTGCTTTTGGCATTTACAGTGGACCCCCCGGTTTACGATCCCGCTCCCAATGCGACCAATTATGTAAGTGTATTTATGTAAGTGCGTTTGTATGTGTATGTTTGGGGGTCTGAAATGGACTAATCTAATTCACAATATTCCTTATGGGAACAAATTCGGTCAGTACTGGCACCTGAACATACTTCTGGAATGAAATAATATCGTAAACCGGGGTCCACTGTACACCCAAGTGTCATTTTTCTTTTTACAACCACTGTATCATGCTGAAATAAAATATTATTATTTATTATTATTATTATTATTATTATTATTATTATTATTATTAGGGAATTTGTGTCAAGACAAAAATAATGAATTTGAATTTTTAAATTATTTTAAATATTGTATAATTGTGAAAATAAAATTAATATATAAAGTTTGGTTCCTTGGTACTGTATATCTTTTCTTTTGGTATGTTGAACTTCATCTGTACTCAATTGTTTAGGTGGTGTACAAAGCAAAGTGTTCAACCCCTTTGATGAAGCTGCTGCTATTAGTGCTGCACTAGAGGAGTCCCTCAAGACCAAGGCTTTTGATGACATGATGCGTAAAAAACGTGATGCCTTACTTGCTGAGTCATATGCTGTAAAGTCGGCTGTGGGAGTTAGCGGTCATTCAAATAGAAAAGACAACCAGGTAAAGAAATGTATTTGCAGCAATAATGGTAGTAATTAGTGAATACAGCTGAACCCTGGAATTCACATGTTTCATAATCTGTGTACATAATTAGATTATACAACAGTTTTACTGAAGCCCATTTAGTGGATAGCTTTGATTATTCATGTTTTTCTTAGTACCAGTGTATTTGCCTTGTGCACAACTCCTAAATTGAAAAATAACCACTTGCCCAATTTTGTTTTAAATTGCTCAGATGTACAGCATTTCCTATTATGCACTTTCAGGATTCATGTAACATCCAGGAATCTAACCCCCTTCAGATTATAAGGGGTTCAGCTAGATGTAGTAGTATTGTCCAGTACTTGTGCTCCCATTGCTCATAAGGTTGCTTCTTCCTAACAGGGCATGCTGCCTAATGGTATTCTAGTCTGATGATCTGCTGGTGCCCTAAGAATGCCTCTTTGATCACATCCACAGCTATTCATATTGCTGGGAGTTTAATCAGTGAAACTCCACCACAGACCAAGCATATGATGCTCGGAAAATGACCCTTTTTTTTTTTTTTTTTTTTTGCCATTGATGTGTTCCATGGTGTGGAATGTGTGTGCTGTCAAAAGAAAAACAAGAGCTCTACTCTTGCTCACAATAACTCCCTCCCTCCCTCCTCCTCTGTACATGCTTTTCAAGGAGGTCCAAGCCATCAACTACAACTTCTCTGTTTTGACCATTACTAATGGATCTTTTCAAGACATTGGCAGTCCACCTGCTGCATTTTTTAACCCTTTCAGGGTCTGTGCTGTAGATCTATGGCTTTATGTACAGGGTTCAAACCGTAGATCTACACCATGAGCTCAGCTCACTCTGATAAGCTGTGAGCGGTAAATTTGGGCCTAGATATGAGAGAATACATCTATGTGGTATGTGTGCACCACATAAAACAAATCCTGCAGCACAGTGCATAATGAGAGAAAAAACTGAGACCGTAATTTTCGACTAAAACAGTGCCTTTGCAGTGTTTTTTCGTATGTTTTTTATAGTTGTATTTGCGATTTCTTGGTCTCGTTTGATAGAATGGAAGATATATTACAGAAATAGAGATGATTTTGAAAATGGCTTGAAACTGAGCTCAAAGTAGTGAAATGTTAAATTTTTGCTGATGTTCAAGAGTAAACAAATGACCTCACATGTCTAATACACGCCAGCTGGTGGGTCTGATATATGTTCACAAATGTGGTGATATTATTTATACAATTATTACATTACCGTGGACCCTCGCCTAACGAACGCATCGCATAACGTTAAATCTGGCTAGTGATACATTTTAACGCAAAAATTTTGCCTTGGCTAGCGCTAAAAAACTCGCCCAACGCAATTCGTTCCGTTCGAAACGCGTCCACTTGCGGCCTGAGCGTGCCTCACTTGTCCCGTGGGTGCTAGTGTTTACAAGCCAGCCACCACGGTCGCATCCAAACATACAATCGGAACATTTCATATTATCACAGCGTTTTTAGTGATTGCACCTGCAAAATAAGTCACTATGGGCCCCAAGAAAGCTTCTAGTGCCAACCCTACAGCAAAAAGGGTGAGAATTACTATGGATATGAAGAAAGAGATCATTGCTAAGTATTTCATACTTAGCAATGAGTGCGTGTCTCCGAGCTGGCCAGGTTGTACACAAAACTCCAATCAACTATCGCTACTATTGTGGCCAAGAAAACGGCAATCAAGGAAGCTGTTCTTGCCAAAGGTGCAACTTTGTTTTCGAAACAGAGATCGCAAGTGATAGAAAATGTTGAGAGACTGTTATTGGTGTGGATAAACGAAAAACAGATAGCAGGAGATAGCATCTCTCAAGCAATCATATGTGAAAAGGCTAGGAAGTTGCATGACGATTTAATTAGAAAAATGCCTGCAGCTAGTGGTGTGAGTGAATTTAAGGCCAGCAAAGGTTGGTTTGAGAGATTTAAGAATCGTAGTGGCATACATAGTGTGATGAGGCATGGTGAGGCTGCCAGTTCGGACCAAAAAGCAGCTGAAAAATCTGTGAAGGAATTCAAGGAGTACATAGACAGTGAAGAATTGAAACCTGAACAAGTGTTTAATTGTGACAAAACAGGCCTGTTTTGGAAGAAAATGCCAAGCAGGACCTACATGACTCAGGAGGAAAATGCACTCCCAGGACATAAGCCTATGAAAGACAGGCTTTCTCTGTTGATGTGTGCTAATGCTAGTGGTGATTGCAGAGTGAAGCCTTTATTGGTGTATCACTCTGAAACTCCCAGAGTGTTCAGGAAAAACAATGTCCTCAAGGCTAATTTGTGTGTGATGTGGAGGGCAAACACTAAGGCATGGGTCACTAGAGACCTTTTCAATGACTGGTTACACCATGCATTTGCGCCCACTGTGAAAAATTACCTCCTGGAAAATAAATTGGACCTTAAGTGCCTCATGGTATTAGACAATGCTCCTGGTCATCCTTCAGACGTGGCAGAGCGACTTTCTGGGGACATGAGCTTCATTAACCCTTTCAGGGTCCGTCCCGTAGATCTACGGCTTTACGGTGAGTGTCCAAACCGTAGATCTACGCCATGAGCTCAGCTCACTCTGATAAACTGTGAGTGGTACATTTGGGCCTAGATATGAGAGAATACATCTATGTGGTATGTGTGCACCACATAAAACAGATCCTGCAGCAGACTGTGTATAATGAGAGAAAAAAACTGAAATCATGATTTTTCGATTTAAACAGCAACTTTGCAGTGTTTTTTCGTATGTTTTTTATAGTTGTATTTGCGATTTCTTGGTCTCATTTGATAGAATGGAAGACATATTACAGAAATAGAGATGATTTTGATTGGTTTTAGCACTGGAAATGGCTTGAAACTGAGCTCAAAGTAGCGGAAATGTTAAATTTTTGCCGATATTCAAGAGTAAACAAACGACCTCACACATCTAATACACGTCAGCTGGTGGGTCTAATATACATTCACAAATATGGTGAAGATATTTATACAATTATTACAGTATTGCATAACAGTAAATCTTCTATTTTTTGGTGTGAATAAAAATTCATTATGTGAATAAAAAATCAAAATGGAATTTATTTGTAAAGCCTCAAAACATAACTAACGAACAGAGGAAATGTTAGTTTAGTGCCAGGAATGCCTACATTGTTTATTCTGGACCCTATTTTGAAATTGAAATATTTTGAACTTTGTGTTAAATTGGCCAAATTGACAATTTCCGATCACTTTATTTTGTAGTTGAAACAGTTGACTTGGCGATTTCTTGTGCTCAATCAATAGAATAGAAGTAATACTAGTGAAATAGCTAAGAATTTGGTTGATTGGAATAATGTAATTGGCCTAAAATGGGAGTCAAAGTCGGCAAAATTGCCGATTCGTAAATATCGCTGACACATCAAAATTCGCGAGAGCATAATTTCGTCAATTTTCCACCAAATTTCGTACTTTTTGTTTTATTACCTTCACAAAAAGATTCTCTACGATTTCATAAGAAAAAATAACAAATTTTTTTTTTTTAAATTCTTGGACACTGGTGCGTGACTCCAGATTTGGGCCTTGGACCCTGAAAGGGTTAAGGTCAAGTTTTTGCCTCCTAATACCACTCCTCTCCTGCAGCCCATGGGCCAGCAGGTCATTGCAAACTTTAAAAAACTCTACACAAAAGCTATGTTTGAAAAGTGCTTTGTAGTGACCTCAGAAAATCGGTTGACTCTAAGAGAGTTTTAGAGAGATCACTTTAGCATCCCCAATTGTGTAAACATTATAGGTAAGGCTTGGGAGGAAGTGACTAAGAGGACCTTAAACTCTGCTTGGAAGAAACTGTGGCCAGAATGTGTAGACAAAAGGGATTTTGAAGGATTTGAGGCTAACCCAGAGAAGCTTATGCCAGTTGTGGAATCAATTGTGGCATTGGGGAAGTCCTTGGGGTTGGAGGTTAGTGGGGAGGATGTGGAAGAGTTGGTGGAGGAGGACAATGATGAACTAACCACTGATGAACTGCAAGATCATCTTCAGCAGCAAGAGGCCAGTCCTGAGAAAACTGCTCCGGAGGAGGGGATAGAGAAATTGAGGAAGTTGCCTACTTCAAAGATTAAGGAAATGTGTGCAATGTGGCTTAAAGTGCAAACCTTTTTTGATGAAAATCACCCTCACACAGCTATTGCAAGCCGTGCTGGTGACTATTACAGTGACAATGTTATGAAACACTTTAGGAATGTCATAAAGGAACGGGAGGTACAGGCCTCTATGGACAGATATGTTGTGCGACAGAGGTCCAGTGACTCTCAAGCTGGTCCTAGTGGCATTAAAAGAAGAAGGGAAGTAACCCCGGAAAAGGACTTGACATCTTAAGTCCTAATGAAAGGGGATTCCCCTTCTAAACATTAACACCATCAACACACTCCCCTCCTCCCATCCTATCAATCATCACCAGATCTTCAATAAAGGTAAGTGTCATGTACATGTCTTCTTCAGTTTGTGTGTATTAAAATGAATATCTGATGTGGTAAAAAATTTTTTTTCATACTTTGGGGTATCAGGAACGGATTAATTTGATTTCCATTATTTCTTATGGGGAAAATTAATTCAGCTAACGATAATTTCGCCTAACGTTGAGCTCTCAGGAACAGATTAACATGGTTAGGCGAGGGTCCACTGTATTGCATAACAGTAAATCTTCTATTTTTTTGGTTTGAATAAAAATTCATTATGTGAATAAAAAATCAAAATGGAATTCATTTGTAAAGCCTGAAAACATAACTGATGAACAGAGGAAATGTTAGTTTAGTGCCAGGAATGCCTGCATTGTTTATTCTGGTCCCTATTTTGAAATTGGAATATTTTGAACTTTGCATTAAATTGGCCAAATTACCAATTTCCGATCACTTTATTTTGTAGCTGAAACAGTTTACTTGGTGATTTCTTGTGATCAGTCGATAGAATAGAAGTATTACTAGTGAAATAGCTAAGAATTTGGTCGACTGGAATAATGTAATTGGCCTAAAATGGGAGTCAAAGTCGGCAAAATCACCAATGCGTAAATATCACTGACACATCAAAATTCGCGAGAGCATAATTTCGTCAATTTTCCATCAAATATCGTACGTTTTGTTTTATTACCTTCAGAAAAAGATTCTCTACCATTTCATAAGAAAAAATAACAAAATTATTTTTTGAAAATTCTTGGACCCTGGAGGATGACTCTGCAGTATGTGGTTCTGGCTGGTGAAAATTTTGCCATTTTGAAAATTGTGTCCTTTATTTCTTTCCAGCTGTAGGGAGAATCTCCACTAATCCTTCTGCTAAAAAACTAACCTGGGTTAAGTGTTCATGTTCAATACTTTTGTAGCATTTCTTGCAGTCAGTTTTTGTATTCACAGAATACTAGTCATCTTTTGAGCTTTTATTTTTCTTTATGGGATCTCTATGCTCGTGGGTTTATGGGACACACACACTGCTCTCTTTCCAGTCTTGGCAGTTCCCTTTTTTTTCCAGTAGGTCATACTTGTGTTGGCATGCAGCATATGATATTGCTAGCAATTTGACCATTTTATCACACTCTTATCTGATAATATATCTGCTGGCCTTGGAAGCCACAGTGAGTTTCTCTGAGGTATGGAGGAAGGTTTGTGATAATTGATGCCAAAATGTAGTGGAAATGCTCTTCACATTGACTTTGAGCTCTGTATTATTTTTATCATTTCTTCCATAGCCATAGGTGTGTCATTAGACTATGATTTGAATGTCACACTGACCTGATTGTTAAGATAACATAAGATTTTGTTTGGATTTTTAACCCCGGAGGGTTAGTCACCCAGGATAACCCAAGAAAGTCAGTGCGTCATTGAGGACTGTAACTTATTTCCATTGGGGTCCTCAATCTTGTCCCCCAGGATGTGACCCACACCAGTCGACTAACACCCAGGTACCTATTTGCTGCTAGGTGAACAGGACAACAGGTGTAAGGAAACGCATTGATATGTTTCCACCCGCCAGGAATCGAACCCAGGTAAGGATTAACGAGTAACATTTAGAATGGTCTCTAGTTATTTGACCCATTCTGTACTGTTTTTCATATAGGTGCTCTGTGTTCATCACTACTCTAATGTGGTGGCACATCTAGGGCCAGGATTGCACTTCCAGTGAGGAGACTGTGGACCATCTTGTGCTGTGTTGTCTATGCAGATACTCAGCACAGAGTTTTCAAAGAAGAAAAGAAGTGGTTGGGATAGTTTGACCATGAAGATAGAATGGAGCAAGATAGATGAATTAAGAGGTTTTTTTATACGTATAAATCTTGTTTGGTTGGAAGATAGTGCAGGGAAAGTCCAAAGAAGAGAGATCAGGAGACTGGTGCAAGAGTTATGGAGGTAGGAGCTTGAACATTCAAAAGGCTGTTGAAGTGTGAGCAAGGTAAAAATCTATTAAGGAATTAACAAAAATTAATTAGATGGTCTTAAGTTTTGGAAGTGGATAATGCAATTACTGCATCGTGGAAGTAAATTTGCTAGGTAGTATTATTTTAAATTTCTTTAAGAAATGTGTTATACAGCACTTTTCTCGTAATTAAAAGGCTCTGGTGGCCTGGTGGCTAACGCTCTCACTTCACACGTCAAGGGCCTGGGTTCGATTCCCAGCCAGAGTAGAAACATTGGGCATGTTTCTTTACACCTGTTGTCTATGTTCCCCATCAGTAAAATGGGTACCTGGGTGTTAGTCGACTGGTGTGGGTCACATCCTGGGACACTGACCTAATTTGCCCGAAATGCTGAGCATAACAAGGGGCTTTCTATATAGTAGTATCACAGTATGTCATTGATGTCAGCTAGGCCTGTATACCATGTACATGTACTTGTAGTAAATAAAGATATTATTATTATTATTATTATTATTATTATTATTATTATTATTATTATTAGAAAACCTTTGTTTACTTTCAGTATAGTACTTGTATGCTCTTTATTTGGGTTTAATTTTCTTTTTTTTTATAAATTTAGACTGTTTCATTATAATTTAAAAAATGTAGAAATTAGACTATGCAGGAGGGCTCTGCTTATGCAGCAGGTTAGGTTCTGGACTACCACTGTAAAACAAAAATAACTGTAAAGTGAATCATAGCCTTTTTCACTTTTAAATGCGTGATAACATGTGTACTATCATATATTAAGTGAGCAATATAGCTTAGCCTAAAAAATGCATATTACTTATCTTAAAATATTTTTGTCCTTAGCTTATAGCAGGTGGTGAACATATTTATTGTGGGAAGTTTGAAATGTGTATGATTAAAAGCTGCTATATTAGCAAATCACTGTAAAGCGAAGCACTGTAAAGCGGGCCTGCCTAATAGGTAGGTACAATAGGTACAGCCTCTTTAATATGTCATGCAAAAAATGTGGATTTTACTTGTGCACTTGCAGTGGGCTCATTAGTATGGATTCTTTTCAGGAATTAAGTCCAACCTCATCCTCTGTATCTCATGAAGAAGCATGTAAGAAAGAAGTTAAAGTAAGGAAAGAGTGTCCAGTAAAAACCTTTGAGCTTTGTCCAATGAAGTTAAGATCTAGCCCTCAAAAAAGAAAATTGGAAAGTCCTGAGTGTGAAAATGAAAGTCTAACTAAAGCAAAGAGGGTTCTACAGCAGGACAGAACAAAAAAGCAAGTTGAAAATGAAATTTTAGAATTGGATCAGCTGCTGGACAAAATTAATAAAAGTCCACTGCAGGAGAATAAAGTAAAAAAAAAATTGCAGAGGAAATGCGAGTTGCAGAAACCTAGAAGTAAGGTCATCGATGACAGGTACTGTACTGTATTTTGGTTTTAAAGATTTTCTTATTAATGCATTGTATATTACCATTAATAATTTTAATTCTATAAAATATACTTTGTATATGTGCTGTATAACCCTTAAGGGTTTAGTGCTTGAGTTGATAATATTATTATTTTGCATATTGAACTTCCTGTCTATTCTTTTACAATTAGTTGACCTCGTATTTCTTGCCTCTTATTCTTTCTGCTTTTCACTTCAGTTGTCTTTCTGTTCACATTATTATAATTTGACCCATGTTTATTTTTGCAAATGGTATATGGTATGTTCCTTATGTACTCATGGCTACAAAATTTTCCATTAAAAATGGGCCTTGGATAGGGATATGTGATATCATCATGGTGATTTAGTGTATTTATTATGAGGTTGTAAAAGAAGTGAGTGCAGATGTGAGCAAGAGACATGGGATTAAAAGATAATGAATTGTACTAAGTCAAAGTTGTTGCAGTTGCTCTTTGTCAGTGGCATTTCTGTTGAGAGATTCTGAAGAGAAGTTGCAAAGAGTGAAGGAGGAATTTAGGAGGAAATAAAAAATTTAACATAAAAATGAGCAAGATTAAGAAAAAGTTTAAGCAACGAAAAGTGGATATCAGAGTGGAGGGACGAAGTATGGAGGAAGTGAATGTATTTAGATATTTGGGAATAGGCAAGTTAGATGGGTCTATGAAAGACAAGGTGAACCATAGCATAGATGAGAAGAAATAGTGTTGAGGTATATGTGGGAAGAAAGTTTATTTATTGAGGCAAAAAGAGAAATGTACCCGAGTATAGTGGTAGCAACACTTTTATTGGTATGTGAGGTGTGGGCTTTCAACATTTTAATGAAGAGGAGGCTAGAGACAGTGGAGATGTCATGTTTAAAGAGTAATGTGTATGTAGAAAATTCAGAGCATAGAAATTAGAAGATTGTGTGAAGTTATGAAAGGTATAATTCAGATGACTAAGGAGAAGTTGTGGAAGTCTGAGGTGGAAGGAAGAAGGGGTAGCATTCATCCCAGGAAAGATTAAAGGAAGGGGGTGAAGGAGATTTCGAGTAATAGGGGCTTAAAAATCCAGCAGGTGTGTGTGAGTGTTAAATCAGAATGAGTGGAGAAAAGTGGTTTGTATGGCATGATGTTCTGCTGGAGTGTAAACAAGTTAATGGTTATAAAGGGATAAAAGAAAATTGATTAGCTAGACTTGAGTTCTGAAAGTGGAAAGTACAATGCTTGCACAGGAGGAGAATGTTGAAGTTCAGAAGATAATTTCAGTTATATGCATACTTCTGGCAAGACAGCTATTGAATGAATAATGTTGAATGCATTTTTGTTGTTGTTCTAATTTGGTGTTAGACAGCCAGTGTGGGGAAAGAAAAATGGTCTTTGAAAGGCAAAATAAACCCAAATCTTAAAATAAAATTGTTATGCAGATAATTTTGTATTATTCATTGTTTTCTAGTTTCATTGGGATTTTAGGAACCTAACTCGTATATTTTTGTAGGGATATTGTACTGTACCTTTCTCCTTGCATTTAGTCCTTATAAGATAATCATAACACTCATTTCTTTCTTGCCTGAATAACTGAGCAATTTCATTTACTGTCATTTTCTTTCAGGTGGACCATTTTACGATTCAAGTTATATTTAATATACGGTATTTATTCCTTTCTCACATCTTTAATTCTTGTTTTTATAAATTCTGGTACTCAGACCTGTGTTAACCCATTGATTCATATAGATTTTTGTTTCAATATATCTTGTTCTTCTGTTACTCTTTATTTTGATTGGATGATTATGGATCATTTTTGATCCTTTTGACCAACTACTATCTTCATCCTCTTCCACATTATCAGTAACCATTTGCACAGATTCCTTATCCATTACTGTACCAAAACCTGGGGTCAACCTGTAATCATTGTACAGTACTAGATACATTATTTAACCTCTCCAGTCAGCACCCAGTGTTTATAATTTTTTTTTTTAACACATCGGCCGTTTCCCACCAAGGCAGGGTGGCCCGAAAAAGAAAAACTTTCATCATTCACTCCATCACTGTATGCCAGAGGCATACACTACAGTTATAAAACTGCAACATTAACACCCCTCCTGAGTGCTGGCACTGTACTTCCCATTTCCTGGAACCAAGTCCGGCCTGCCAGTTTCCCTGAATCCCTTCATAAATGTTACCTTGCTTACACTTCAACAGCACATCAAGTCTTAAAAACCATTTGTCTCCATTTGCTCCTACCTAACATGCTCACACATGCTTGCTGGAAGTCTAAGTCCCTCGTACACAAAACCTCCTTTACCCCCTCCCTCCAACTTTTCTTAGGCCAACCCCTACCCTGCCTTCCCTCCACTACAAATTTATATCCTCTTAAAGTCATTCTATTTCGTTCCATCCTCTCTACATGTCCAAACCATCTCAATAACCCCTCCTCATCCCTCTGGATAATAGTTTTGGTAATCCCGCACCTCTTAATCTCCAAACTACGGATTCTCTGCATTATATTCACACCACACATTGCCCTCAGATATGACATCTCCACTGCCTCCAGCCTTCTCCTTGTTGCAAAATTCACCACCCATGTCTCACACCCATACAAGAGTATTGGTATAACTATACTCTCATACATTCCCCTCTATGCTTTCATGGATAAAGTTCTTTGTCTCCACAGTGCACCACTCGCCTTTTTCCCCTCGTCTGTTCTATGATTCACCTCATCTTTCATGGACCCATCTGCTGACATGTCCACTCCCAGATATCTGAATACATTCACCTCCTCCATACTCTTCCCTCCAATCTGATATCCAATCTCTCGTTAACGAATTTTTTTTGTTATCCTCATCATCCTACTCTTTCTTATATTCACTTTTAATTTCCTTCTTTTTACATACCTACCAAACTCATCAACCAGCCTCTGCAACGTTTCTTCAGAATCTCCCAAAAGCACAGTGTCATCAGCAAAGAGCAACTGTGACAATTCCCACTTTGTGTTAGATTCTTTAATCTTTTAACCCCACACCTCTTGCCAACACCCGAGCATTCACTTCAATTACAACTCTATCTAAAACTATATTGAACAACCATGGTGGCATCACACATCCCTATCTAAGGCCTACTTTTTTTTTTTTTTTCAACAAGTCGGCCGTCTCCCACCGAGGCAGGGTGACCCAAAAAAGAAAGAAAATCCCCAAAAAGAAAATACTTTCATCATCATTCAACACTTTCACCACACTCACACATTATCACTGCTTTTGCAGAGGTGCTTAGAATACAACAGTTTAGAAGCATATACGTATAAAGATACACAACATATCCTCCAAACTGCCAATATCCCAAACCCCTCCTTTAAAGTGCAGGCATTGTACTTCCCATTTCCAGGACTCAAGTCCGACTATATGAAAATAACCGGTTTCCCTGAATCCCTTCACTAAATTTTACCCTGCTCACACTCCAACAGACCGTCAGGTTCCAAGTATCATTCGTCTCCATTCACTCCTATCTAACATGCTCATGCACGCTTGCTGGAAGTCCAAGCCCCTCGCCCACAAAACCTCCTTTACCCCCTCCTTCCAACCCTTTCGAGGACGACCCCTACCCCTCTTTCCTTCCCCTATAGATTTATATGCTTTCCATGTCATTCTACTTTGATCTATTCTCTCTAAATGACCAAACCACCTCAACAACCCCTCTTCTGCCCTCTGACTAATGCTTTTATTAACTCCACACCTTCTCCTAATTTCCACACTCCGAATTTTCTGCATAATATTTACACCACACATTGCCACTGCCTCCAACCGTCTCCTCGCTGCTGCATTTACCACCCAAGTTTCACATCCATATAAGAGTGTTGGTACTACTATACTTTCATACATTCCCTTCTTTGCCTCCATAGATAACGTTTTTTGACTCCACATATACCTCAACGCACCACTCACCTTTTTTCCCTCATCAATTCTATGATTAACCTCATCCTTCATAAATCCATCCGCCGACACGTCAACTCCCAAGTATCTGAAAACATTCACTTCTTCCATACTCCTCCTCCCCAATTTGTATCCAATTTTTCTTTATCTAAATCATTTGATACCCTCATCACCTTACTCTTTTCTATGTTCACTTTCAACTTTCTACTTTTACACACATTCTCAAACTCAATCCACTAACCTTTGCAATTTTTCTTTAGAATCTCCCATAAGCACAGTATCATCAGCAAAAAGTAACTGTCAATTCCCATTTTGTATTTGATTCCCCATAATTTAATCCCACCCCTCTCCCGAACACCCTAGCATTTACTTCTTTTACAACCCCATCTATAAATATATTAAACAACCATGGTGACATTACACATCCCTGTCTAAGACCTACTTTTACCGGGAAGTAGTCTCCCTCTCTTGTACACACCCTAACCTGAACCTCACTATCCTCATAAAAGCTCTTTACAGCATTTAGTAACTTACCACCTATTCCATATACTTGCAACATCTGCCACATTGCTCCTCTATCCACTCTATCATATGCCTTTTCTAAATCCATAAATGCAATAAAAACTTCCCTACCTTTATCTAAATACTGTTCACATATATGCTTCAATGTAAACACTTGATCTACACATCCCCTACCCACTTTGAAGCCTCCTTGGTCATCCTCAATCCTACATTCTGTCTTACCTCTAATTCTTTCAATTATAACCCTACCGTATACTTTTCCTGGTATACTCAGTAAACTTATTCCTCTATAATTTTTTACAATCTCTTTTGTCCCCTTTCCCTTTATATAAAGGGGACTATACTATGCTCTCCGCCAATCCCTAGGTACCTTCCCCTCTTTTCATAATTTATTAAACAAAAGTACCAACCACTCCAACACTATATCCCCCCTGCTTTTAACATTTATGTCATGATCCCATCAGTTCCAGCTGCTTTACCCCCTTTCATTCTACGTAATGCCTCACGTACCTCCACCACACTTACATTCTGCTCTTCTTCACT